CTGTTCTTCACACTGAGGAGACAGGACATTTGTCCAGAGCTTAGCAGTTGCTCTCTGGGCGCTGAGACAACTAGGGCTTGTTTTTCTTCATTGTTCTCTTGTGTACATCTCATAGGTTCACAAGGAGCATATGCCACATTTTTAATCAGAAAAAAAAAGAAGTTCTTGAAGTTTGGGAGTGGACAGCTTTTGGTCATGAAGAGGTGGGCAGTGGCGAGGTGATCTTTGGGTAAAGGGGCCCTGGTGGGAAAGCCTGGCCGTGGTGCAGATGGGGTGCCTCACAGGGCCAGGGGGCAGAGCGGGCAGATGCGTCAGGGCCAGGTTCTCACGAGACACCCGGGGCATCTGGGCAACAGCCCAAGGGGATGGGGGTCCCGGGGCGCTGAGCGGGCCTGAGGCAGGTACCCTTGGTAACCTGCTCACTGGCTGCCTAGGGCAGATGACAGAGGGGAAGGCAGTGAGGAAGAGAATGCGAGACCATCCTGGCGAAGCCCTGGGGCTGAGAGGAGGGGCCGGGGGTGAGAGACAACGAGAAGGCTCTGGCCCAGGAGGTGAGGACATGCCCACGGGGCCCATCTGGACCCCTCACACCTACTGGAGGGGTCACAGGCCCACCTGGAACCCCCACACCTACTGCAGGGGTCACAGGCCCATCTGGAACCCCCACATCTACTGGAGGGGTCACAGGCCCACCTGGAAGCCCCACATCTACTGCAGGGGTCACAGGCCTATCCGGACCCCCACATCTACTGGAGGGGTTCCAGGACCCAGCCTGCAAGACCTCATGGGACCCCTTCCCCATGACCCTGGGGCTGCGTGAGTGATGTGTAGTGACCGGAGCCAGGGGAATGCGACACCCTCAGACCAGGACAGACAGGTGGACACCAGGAGGGCACCTGGAATCCCGTTCTCGTGCTGAACACGGCAGCTCAGACCCAGGTGAGAGCAAGGCGGCACACGGCCAGGATGCTGTGGAAGGAGCACCTTGTCCTCACAGCCATGCTGCTTCCCAGGCCACTGGCTTCAGGGTAACCAGGGCCTTGTTACCAGCACACACCCCTGGCCTCCTCATAGCATTGTGACTCAGTATCTTAGGCAGGGGTCTCCAAGTCTGTGTTAAAAGTAGAATTCAAGGGACGCACAGAGAGGCTCCAGCCCGGAGCGTCCCCTCCCAGCCTCCACCCGCAGGGACGCCTCGCCTCTCTCATCAGGAGCAGCCCAGTCCGTCTCCAAGAGGAGGACCTCCGTTTCTGGCAAGAAGAGTGAAAGCGTCTCCCTGCAAGTTCCGGAGCAGAGCAACCTTCCTGCGGGCACTGCGGTGCTCCCCTGGCCCTGGGGACGTGTCCTCCCAGGGGACAGGGCAAGCAGGTGGGCCTGGCTCTGACCACAGGCTGCCCGGGCCGCCCCCCGAGCAGCCGCAGTGTGGACCACACGGCCCCCCAGAGGGGAGAGGCTGCACCTGAAACCACGCGCCAGGAACTGGCAGCTGAGGCTCCCCCTCGAAAAGAGGAACCAAGAGCCAAAGGCGGATGCGGACAAAGCCACACGGAGCCCGAGCAAAGCCTCGCCCCGGCCAGCAGTGGGGAGCGCAGCCATCTGCCGCAGGCTGTCTGCCTAGAGGGCAAGTGGCGCGCGAGCTCAGGCCCGCTCTCACAGGGCCTGTGACGCCGGCTGTCTGGGAGGCCCCACACCTATACACCCACCCCACGCAGGTCCTGCTGTGCTTCACGGGGCCGCCTCTCCAGAGCAGTGTCCCCTCAACCAGAGCCCAGAGGAGCCCACCGACACAAAACGTCTACAGTTGCCACCTCAGCCCAAGAGGAGGCGAGCATCGGAGAGGCCACTGTGAGAAGAATCGGACTCTTCCATCAGCGCAGCTGATGCGGCTCCAGGACGGATAGGGTGGGGTCAGCACGTTCAAGGGGCTCAAAGCTGTGACGTCAGACACGAGGAAGATACAGGATGCTAAGACCGAGCAGATGAGACCCTCACATGAGGACACACAGGAGAGATGGAACAGGTGGAAACTGAGACGCCAGACGGCTGTCCCTGAGGGTATCGCGCCGCGGCAGACAGGCCGCACGAGAGGCAGCAAGGCGCGCTGCCCGGGAGGGCCGGGCGGACGCTTCCAGGGGAGACCAGAGCAGTCAGGGCAGGTGGCAGCCCGTGACACAGCAGGGCTGAGCTACCCCATGTTGAAAGACACAGACCCTCAGCGTCAGGGCCCGCAGCACCTCGTCATGAAACTACAGAACACCAAAGTCAAAGAGAAGGTGTTCAAGGTCGTCAATACAGAGGAAGGGTCACCTGCAGACGACGGTCAGCTCAAGAGGGCACACCAGCTGGGAGCTGGCGCTGGACTTCCCGCCTGTCCAGAGAAAATGCAGATCTCTCATATCCTACGGCGGAGAAGGAGATGACAAAGAGAATATATATATATATATATATATATAAACTGACTCACTTTGCTGTGTGTCTGATACAGTGTACATCAACTATGTTTCAATTTTAAGTTTTTTTTAAAAATTAAAGAAAATATAGATCTCAACTTGTATTGTTCTAGCAACCTAGACCATGGTTCAAGAGCAAAGGTAAAATACAGAAATCTCAGACAAGCAGACACCGAGTAGGCCGTCGACAGGCGGTCCCAGAAGAAAGCACCGGCCTTAGGAAGAAGGACATGAAGCTCCAACCGAGACACAGAAAACGGGCCAATCTGTCAGCAAACACGAGCCGCCACTGCAAACAGTGAGCCGCTAATGCCAAGGGCGGTCTGCAAAGTCAAAACGCCAACACAGCGCAGAAGGCCACAGAACAGGCGGGTGCCGGCGTGAGAACCCGTCCGCCCCTGCTCGCTGCTCAGGCGGCTGGAGGCGAGGGAGGCAGGCAGCAGGCCGGCCATGGTCAGTACCGGAGGGGGGGGCTCACACAGCCCCCACACGTGGGAAGGCAAGAGGCTGGACTTGGCGGTGGGAGACGGCGTGAGTGGGAGCCGCAAACCCCCAGAGCAGGCGAGGTCTCTGTGTATCGCCGTGGTCCCTCCATAGAGCGGGCACGCAGGCTCCCGCCCTTCACTCTCTGAAATTCTCTGTCTGAAGTCCTTGTGATCAGAGCAGACGGCTCGGTTCACCCGGGGACGTCACGCTGCCCCCAACTCCGCCAATACCCGGGGAGCCCCCCAGGCCACAGGTCCCCCCTCCAGCTGGTTTCTGCCTCCTTTCCTCCTCCCCCACCGTGACACCATCACTGCAGGCTCCCAGCCGACCTGCCCCAAAGTCCCACCCGAGGGTACTGGCCAAGTCCTGCTCAACGCTCCACGGTGCCACCCCAGGAAGCCCCACGGGGCTGACTGTAGCCACTCCTGCTCGGGGGCCTTCTACCATCTGGCCCATCCAAAGCCTGCTGGCCCAGGTCATGACTCAGGCCCAGGGCACCGGCCTGGTCAAGGTCACGAGTAGAAACAGACCCTGCACGTGTGGGAGCCCTGCAGGAAGGAGGCAGGAGGAAACCACGGGAAACCGCGTCCAGGTCACGGGACGGAGGAACGGCCAACCCCCGAAGACCTCTGTCCAAGACAGTCCTGCGCTCACCGCGCCCTTCCTCGGCCCTGCAGATGGGGCCTGCTGCCGGGGATTAGAGCAGATTCATCAGGGCTCTGGGACCCACAGACCGGCTGTGCTCGGGACCCGGGGCCCCAGAGTCACAGGACAGGAACCCAGAGCAGTGCTGGCCCAAGACAGAGAGCCCTGCCTGCGGTGGGGAGAGGCGTGCGGTGGACGCTCCGTGGGGGGGCAGGTACCATGGGCAGGGCTGGGGGGGGTGCGTGCCACGGGTAGGCGCTGTGTGTGGAGTGGAGAGGTTCAGTTCAAGTCGGGGTCCGGCATGGGAGTGGGCTGCAGCCTAGTGGGTGGTGCCCAGCGTTGGGCGTGGGGCTGCGGGCCTGTCCCTGTGACGGAGTCAACTCCGGAGGAGCACCCCTGGTCCCTCCCCAGGGCTCCCCAGAGCTGCCGGGCGGGCGGGGAGGACCGAGGAACCTCAGGGACCGCTCGGGCGGGGCTGTTCTGTGTCCCCGGGGCCCAGCCGACAGCTCAGGCTCCAGAAACCCGGTGGTTCTGGCTGGGCGGACTTATCTTGTTGGCAGGGAAGGAGAAGGCCCTCTGTGCGGGGGGCGTCCCACGGAGGACACCTGCCTCCCGGCCCTTGTCCCTCATTAACATTCCGCAGGCGGCTCAGAGGACTCCACAGCGCCGCACGGGCTGAATGGATGCCGCGTTTCGGGGGCTCCGTGTTCAGCCAACAGCGAGCGCGGCTCCGCCCCGCGCCGACCTGAGCATTAGCATTCGCAGAAAGCCCCCATCTGCGTGGCGACAATGGTCCTGCCCCAGATCCGGACGGCGGGCACAATCATCCTTTGTGCCCATGGCAGCGGGCAGGCGGCTGGCACGTCCCAGGGGCCCGACGGTATGTGAGGAGACCCCGGGTACCCAGGCTGGGTCTTGCACACCCAGCTTCCCAAAGAGGATGCCCACAGACAGCCTCAGGGGTGCAGAGGGGCCGTGGCTCCTCCCAGAGCACCCCCCGCCCTCCGCCGGCCATGCCCAGACATGGAGGACGCGTCACGGGTCAGCCACCCACAGGGTGCCAGGCACCCATCAGCACCACACGGGCTTGGGACCCCCAGCCCCACTCCACCTGGGACAGGGGTCCACGTGAACCGTGAGCCCCTTCACTCCACCAGGCCTGGGTGCCAGGCATATAGCTCGGCTGAGGCAGGGCCTGGCTCCCCGAAACCCAGCGCCCAGGGCAGGGCAGGGCAGGACTTCCACGAGCGACAGGGGCCCGCTCTGACGGGGCAGATGTGGCAATACCAGCGGCCCCCAGGACGAGAGCGACTGGTCGGGGGAAGCGAGGCCGTCCAGACCCCCCCAAGGCCCCGGCAGCCCTGCTCAGAGCTGAAGGTGGGCCTGCCCCCACCCCCACCGCAATCGGGGGCTCCTCACCAGCGTTGTCGTAGCCGTCTACCGAGAAGGGCTCGGGCCTCCGGTCCTCCAACACGGGGTCGTAGGTGATGTGGGGGACCGCCAGCGTCTTCTCGCCTGGGCTCACCCCATTGTCCTTGTCCAGTTTGAACTTCTTCTTCTTTACCTAGAAAACCAGATGACAGGAGTGGTCGGGTCCTGGGCGTCCCCTGCCGGGCCCTCTGCTGATGCCCGACCACTGGTAGCAACACTCTCGGGGCACCTGCCCAGGCTGGGCACCAGGACCCTCACACACTGGCAGGAGGGCTGCAGCGCGGGTGCTGCCAGCGGTCCCCTGGGAGCTCAGAGCCCCCGGGGCAGGCGGACAGCAATGAGCAGACAGTAAGCAGACAGAACACCGCGGGGCAGGGACAATGCGGGCTGTGGCCGGTGGGGACTCAGAGCCCAGGGAGCGGGCGCACAGACTGAAGGCAGGAGGACACGTCTCTGTGGTGGTGATTGGGAGGAAGCCAGCCAGCCAGCCACGCTGGGGTCTGGGAGAAGTGTTGGCAGAGGAAACGGTGGGTTGCAGAGGCTTCGCAGGCAGCCAGTGCCTGGGGGACCGCATCTCTCCAGGGCGGTGTGGGTGCAGGTCGGAGGGAGGGCGATGCTGGGCTGGCTGCCCTGTTCTCTTGGGACTCTCGCCCAAGCCTGCCTCAGCTCCCTTATACCGAGACCCCAGGACCCTCTTCTGTGAGACCCCAAGACCCTCTTCTGTGAGACCCCCAGACCCTCTTCTCTGAGACCCCCAGACCCTCTTCTCTGAGCCAGGCAGTCAGAGCTGCCCTGCCGCTCACCTGCCCGGCACAGACAGCCCAACACCAAGGCCCCATGGAGAGCCCCCCACCCCGGCAGGGCTGGCCAGAGTCCAGCCGGGCCTGTCCCCATCATCCTCCTTTGGACCTTCCCAGCACTGGCCTTGGTGTGGCCAGTCCCGGGGCCAGACCTGGGCCACCCAGGTGGCGGGAGCCCAGCATGGGGCACACTCCTAGGGCCCATGACGATGCGGCTACACTGGACTGAAGGCTCAGGGACAAATCCTGGCCGGGACGTGGCCTCCCCCCAACTGCGACCCGGCGGTTACCATGGCGGACTTCTTGGGCTTGGGGCTGGGGGACAGCAGAGTGTGGTTCCGGGATGGCTTCCGGACGTAGATCTTCCAGGTGGAGGAATCCGGGTTCTCCGCTGCGTAGCACCGCCACGCCGTCTGAAACCAGCGGGAGGGGGCGGCCGTCACCCGCGGGCCCCGCGAGTGCAGCCACACTGCCTGCGGGGCCCCGCTGCTGGCTAGGCCTCAGGGCGTCCTGCCCACCAGCCCCTTCCTGAGGCTGGGGGTCTGCTCCCACCTCCCCAGGGGGGCACACAGTCAGACAGCACAAGAGCCTGTGAACCCGCGTCCCTCTGTGTCCAGCCCCGGGCACGCCACGATGGGGCACTCGCAGGGAGCGCCGAGGGGCAGGGCCTTGGGCTGGCAGAGGCAGAACTGAGTGTCCAGGAGGCCGCATCCCCCTTCCAGGGACCCGCAGTTTCTGGGAACCTCCAGACGGCGTGTGGGTGAAGGCCTCAGGCCTAGAGACCCTCATGGCAGCTGCCACGTGGGGTAAGCTGAGGAAGGGGGTGTTGGCGATGACAAGGGCAGCCAGGAGTTCATAGGGTGCCGCTGGCCATGGGCGCCAGGGAGATGCGGGAGGGATGCACTCCTGGGCAGTGATGCCCCTGCGACCAGAGCCGGGCGCCGCGCCCCGGCCCCCCAGGCAGGGGTGGGCTTCCAGCGGCCCCTCATCCCCCTCCAGGCCTCTCCCGCCTCCTGGGAGGCGCGCGTGAGGCTGCACACCCACCCCATGGGGAGTCCGTGAACCCCCTCCTGCAGGGAGGCCATTTGCCGCCTGATTTATGGTCTCCCTGAGAGAGGCTGTGGGGCCATAAAACCAACTGCAGGGGCCCGAGCCCCCAGCCCGGGGGCCGCTGCCTCCACTTCCTTCCTGTCCAGGGTTAGCGTCCGGCCCCAGACCGTGGTTCCGGACAGGCTCCAGAGGGACAGGGCAGAGGTCTCCAATGGGCTGCGGCAGCTGCTGCAAGCCGGGGGGCCCTGCAGCTCTGGGTGCCCGGGCCGCCCTGCTGGGCACGGGGGCCCGTGGCCGGGTGGACGGGAGATGATGACCCTGCTGCCGGCGCCTGCCCACAACCCCCCCACAGCCCCGGGCCCGCTCCTGCCGCCCCTGGCTCTGGGCGCCTGCTGCCGGCCGCCTCGGGGCTGCACTGTCTTCCAGGGGTCCTTGTGCCGAGGCTTCACGGGCACTGAGAGGCCGGCCGCGCTCCAGGCTGTTCCTGCCACCCACGCACAGGGGCTCAGGGCCGCCTGTCTCTGGGACCTGCCTCTCCCCACTGCTGTCGGGCTTGGAGCCTCGTCACGGAAGCCCGGGGGGCAGGGGGACAAGGGCCCTCAGGGCAGTTGCAGCCCCCACCGCGCCCCCAAAGGCCCGGCGCTCTGAGCCCCGGCCCCGTAGGGACGCGGGCCTCTGGGAGGTGAAGGTAGGTCCAGAATGTGGCCCGTGCTCCTGAGTCACCAGGCCCCAGCCTGGAGGACCAAGCCCCGTGGGTGCTCAGAGGCAGGCCCTGACTCCCAGAGGGACGGCCCCCCGCTGACCCCCACTTCCCTCCCAGACCTGCCCCCACGCAGACGAGGGTGAGGGCACACACCAAGGCGGCCACTGCAGCTGGAGGCCCAGAGGAGTGGGCACAGCAGGGCTGGCCAGGCTGCGTCCTCGTCCCTGAGCCCAGCCCACAGGACCCGTGCCTCCCACCAGCCAGCATCGTCCCACAGCTCCCGGGACGGGTTACACCAGGTGGGCGAGTCTGTGCCCTGGCCCGCTGCACTTCCACCCTCCAGAGGGCCCATGGGAGAGGGTCCAGCCGCTCTGGGGGCCGAGGGCCGCACCCAGTTCCCCAAGCAGACACAGCATGTGTTCCCTGGGTGACAAAGGCGCACGGATGACCAGACGACAGTGCCAAGGCCGTGGGAGCGTCACCTGGATGAGCGAGGCTGCCGCCGGGATCTGCCTGTTGAAATGCTTCTGTCTCTGCTTCTGCTGGACCTTCAGGGCAAAGCCGGAGCCAAGAATCCCCTGCAAGGACAGAAGGCAGGCTCATGCCCTGCAAACGTGGGAGTGGGAGGCAGGCTGGGTGCCCTGGGCCTGGCTCCGCGCTGCGGGCCCCGCAGACCAGGTCAGTGCCTCCAGAGACCCTGCGCATGGTGAGCAAGCTGGGGGTCTGAGTGTGCCATCTGTGAGTATCTGCTCACAGGGCAGCCCCCAGCTCCGCCAGCCCCCAGAGCTCAGAGGAGGCTGAGGGGCCATGGAGACGCCCACCAACCCGGAGCACCTACCGCCGGGAGTGCAAAGAAAGAGATGGCGAAGACAGAGAAGCAGGAGGCGATGGTCTTCCCCACCCACGTCTGTGGCACCTTGTCCCCGTAGCCGATGGTGGTGACCGTGACCTGCGGGCAGGAGGGACAGCAGGCGGCGGTCAGCCCCAGGACCTCAGGACGGGCGTCTGTCCGGCTGGAAGCCCCTCCACCCGAGACCTGCCATGCGCAGAGGCCAAGGAGAGAGATCCGCCCGATGGGCCGGGCAGCTCAGAGGCCAGAGCCCCAGTCCACAGGGTCTGGTCCCCCAGACTTAACGCTGCAAAGGAAGCAAGTCCACGGCATGTGCACGGGCGCTCGGCCTGCCCACGCCACCCCACCCCGTGTCTAAGGAGGCCCACCACCCAGGAGGCCCGGAGCCACCCCCCAAGGCCCATCCTCCACAGAGAGCCTGGCCACAGATGGCATGCCGCTTCCAGACGCCAGCCTGGGCAGCAGATGCTTCATGCACCCTTTTCTCTGGGAGAACTAGATGAGCCTTCTTCTCCACTGGGGGGGGGGGGGGGTGCAGCTATCCGTCCAGGGCATGCGCCGGGACAGCGGGGTGGAGGCCGCTGCCCCCCACACCCCCCATCCCACCACAGGCTCGCCTGCTGCTGGCATCTGAGGCTGGCTCCCGGAGCCCTGGGGCCCACCCTGGCTGTACCTGCCTGCACCAGAGCCCGGGCCGTAGGCTGCCTGCTGGGTTTTCGAGGAGTGGGCTCTGAGCCTGGCAAGGGGACCCAGGGTGCCCAGAGTCCCAGCTCGTCCCGTCAGCACATGTACCCAGCCCTGTGATGGGTGGCTGGGCCTCCCCTAAGCCAGGCCCCCCAAGCCAGGATGCTCGGTGAGCTCTGCAGAAGGGTCTGCACGTGTCCACGCAGATGAGATCAGCACAGGTGTCCACACGGAGACGGGCACACGCAATGGCTCGGAAGCCCAGGGCAGAGGCAAGAGGCCCCGGAACCAAGAGGGACCAAGAGTCTGGGCTCGGGGGTTGGGTGAGCACCACGTGCAGGAAGCCAGGTGTCCCCCACCCCCTGGTGCAGGGCACGCTCCGGGCTCCTCAGACCCTGTCACAGACCTCCTTTGTCAAGTTAACGACATCCTTCCAGCTCTCGGAGGAAACGGCCCATCCCCGCAGAGCTGTTTGTTTTTCCTGAATTCACAGACACTAGCAGCTCAGGAATGGGCTGTTTACGGCCTGTGTGCTCGCCCCCGACGGCAGGCGATCCGGGATGCGGAGCTGCACGTCCCCCCGACGGCAGGCGATCCGGAATGCGGAGCTGCACGTTCCCCGGGCACAGACGCGGGGAGGCGCCTCGGCCGGGGTCTCTCCTCCAGGACGGGAGACTCCAGAGGACCTGCCTGTCCCCCCAGTACATCACACGGGTGTCACTCTATTTCCTCTTTGCTGAAGCCACCTCCTGGACGCCAGCAGGCTGTGGGGGACGTGGGAGGCCCAGCCTAGGAGCCCGGCTCCACTGGGAACGTGGTCAGCCTGCCGCCACCCCACGGGACATGGCCATTTGTCCAGGGCGGGAAGGGGCAGCCAGGCGTGGGGGCGAGGACAGAAGTGGACCCGCGGTGCTTGTACTGGGCGGGGGGGCGCCGCTCTGTCCAGCCAAGGTGCAGCCACGCTGTGAGTTCCGGACCATCTGGTGGGGTCTCACCCCTGCTGAGTGCGCCGGCTGGCACCAAACCAGGGGTGTACGTCCCCAGCTCCTCACTGTGATGCCAGGGTGGGGGGGCAGAGGGCAAATCCAAGGCTAGAGGCTGCCACGCTGGGGGGTCCAGGCCTCACGCAACCTCAGGGAGGAGGCTGGAGAGACGGAGCCAGGGAGAGGGTGGCCCTGGGAGAGGAGAGGTGCAGAGAGTGGGGCAGGGGCGGGGGGCGGCAGGGCTGTCTCAGAGCGGCGAAAGGTGGGCACAGCAGTCCCGGGGCCCAGCACCCATCACCGTGGGGCTGCCCCCAGAGACCCCAACCCGGCTTGGAGGGACAGCGGCCAGCATGTGAGGGGCCCACCCAGCGAGGCTTGCAAACTCAGGGTAAAAACAAAAGCAAACACCCCCCCCCCCAAACAGGCGCGCTTTCTTTCCAAGGGAAATCATAAATAAACACACCGAAACCCACGCAGGCCCAGGGCACCTCGTCACGCAAGCACTCCTTCCCCCTCCTGGAAACTAGCTTGTGATCACCCTGGCCAAGAAGGCGCAGGAGTTGGGGGGCCACGGGCCCAGCGCCGTGGGGGCAGGGCCTCTCTCCCTCCTTTGGGGGGCACAAGGGAGCCCCACACAGCCCCTGGTGGGATGCTGTGGACCCTTGGGCCCTGTTCAGGCCACATCCAGGCCCACAGCCCCTCAGCAGAGGCCCTGGAGACTCTGCCCCAGGCGCCCAGCTCAGACGTCTCCTCCTCAGGGGGCCCTTCCTGCCTCCCGGGGATCACGGCCCAAGGACCACAACTGACCACAACCATGACCGTCCGCAACCAAGTCTCTGAGCACGTGCGGCCCAGGCAGCTGAGCCCGGCAGGCCCCCGTGCCCCGCACACACAGGACCTCGGGGACGTGCTGGTGGGGAGAACCAGCCAGGTCAAGAGGCCCGGTCGCCCAAGGGACGTCTCTGAAGCAGTGGGAAGGGGGGCACCCTTCCTGGGATCGTGGCCTCTCAGGGAGCCGGCCCTCGGAGGCAGACTTGCTGCCGCCCCATTTTACAGATGGGGAAACTGAGACGGTCCCAGCTCTGCCCTGGCCCCAGAACTGGCTGCCTGGTGTGCCTGGGGCCACCCGTGCCTGCTGCCAGCCTTGAGGGGTCAGGAAGGGCCCTCATGCTTAGCGGCATAAACACACACACACACACACACACACACACACGATGTGTGGGCCGCAGGGAGCGGGACCCTCAGGACCAGCAGGGCTGAGGGGCGTGATGGACCTCGGTGGCCACGGACACTCGCGTGTGAATCAGCTGGGGGAGGTCACTGCCTGGCATCCGGCTTGCAGGGTCGCCAGGAGAACCGTGAGCAGTAATGGCCCCTGAAATGCACAACCAGCCTTTACTGAACCCTCGCTGGGCACCAGCGGCTCGAACGGTAAAAATCCGCCGGCAATGCAGGAGACCCGGATTCGATCCCTGGGCCGGGAAGCTCCCCTGGAGGAGGAAATGGCAACCCCCTTCCAGCACTCTCACCTGGAGAAATCCAAGGACAGAGGAGCCGGGTGGGCTCCAGTTCACAGGGTCACAGAGAGTCAGGCACGACTGAGCAACTACACCGCGCGCCAGACACCCCAGGCTCTCCAAGCTCCTGCTGACAAGCCTCCCGCGCTCTCAGAGGTGGGCACCCATCTCACACCCGGCGAGGCCCAGGGCCGCTCGGCGGGCCAGTGCGGCTCCACTCCGGCTCCTGGCCGGGTCACCCACTGCTTCCTGTTTGCCTGTCTTCCTGATGCTGACCGGGCTTCTTTCACGCGCACTGAAGCCGGAAAGTTCTTTCTCCAGATGACAAGGGCTGAACCCCACCCCAGAGGAAACCAGGCCTGAACACCACCCTCCCTGGGCCTGCCGAGTCCATGAAAGAAACCATCCCTGGACAGTAAGGACGGAGAGACGGACCTGCCCTGTGGACCCTGCTCATCCCGCAAAGCCCAGCCGTGAAGACCCTTCTCTGGCCAGGCTCTCAGCGCCCACGGTCTCAGCCGCCGCCGCGGCCGACAGCAGGTGCAGGAGGGACTCAGAGCTGGCAGTGGCCTGGGGTCCTGTGGACCCTCCGATCTAAGCTGCGGCGCACACCCGCCTTTGCGCGGTCCGGGCAGGGGAGGAGCCCTGGACACTGCGCGGTTGGGGGGCTGGGGGGCGGCCCACTGCTCCCTGGGCCCTCAGTTTCCCCAACTCCAGATGGGCCTCCCACACTGGGCGGCGCCGACAGACCTTGCATGTGAACGTTTGGGGGGCCGTGTCCTCACCCAGCCCCCCATGCGGCCCCCAGACCCTTTGGCCTCACTCTGCCAGGACACAGTCCGGCCTGGGAAGTGGAACCTTCTGGAGCCAAGGAACTGGAGTCAGACTCAGTTTTAAACGGCGCTGGAACGCAGGGCGGCTTCCACCCTTTCCACTCCCAATTCTAAATTTAGATGCAGGGGTAAACAGGGCCTGGCAACCTCCGGATCTGAGAGACCCCCGGGCGCTCCACAGAGAAGCCCGTGTTTGCAAAAGCTGCTTTTCCCTCCACTCAAACTTTAACACAAACAAACGCATTTTGTTCCAAGGGCAGAGAAGAAAGTCTTAAATCCTCCCCGACACCTCAGCAGCCAGGCATGGGGCGCCACACTGGTAGGGGGTGGGGAGCTCTCACACCCGCGTCAGGCGCCCCACCTAGGGCGGGGGGAGCAGAGGGGACCCTGGCCTGGAAACCGAGGCTCAGTGAGCGGAGGGACCGACTTGTGATGTCCTCCTGGGACAGTGCTGTCCCCGGCAGAGGAGGGTCCCCCAGCGTCCATGTGCCCCTGGGCCCTCGGAACACAGGCCTGCTTGGAAAGAGGGTCTTTGTCGATGCAACTGGGTTAGCGAGCTTGAGGGGAGACAGTCCTGAGCTCCCGGGTGGGGCCTGCACCCACCAACCAGCGTCCCCATGGGAGACGGAAGGTGCGGCCGCAGGCCCCAGAGCGCCTGGGCCTCAGAGGCTGGGAGAGGCGGGAAGGACCCATCCCCGGAGCTTCAGGAGGCCGCCAGCCTCGATCTTGACTTCTTGTCTCGAGGCAGAGCGAGCACAGTTCTGGTGGTTCACCTTGCTGTGGCCGCCCCATGGGCCCCAGACAGAACCGACCGCTTCCTAGGCGCACCCACTCATCCAACCAAGCCTGGGGCTGAGGGGTGGCCCCAGCAGCCTGCCCACTGGGTCCACATGTGGCCCTGGCCAGCTTCCCCCAGCCTGCCTGCACCGCCGGCTCTGCAGAGGAAGCACAGCGCAGGGCCCGTCCCACGGCCCAGACACACAACTGCGGGGTCTGTCTCCTGCGTCCAGCCAGAGGAGCTGGTCTGGTGCGATGCCGTCTACCCATGGGGTACCCTGCCCAGGCAGCAGGCCTCCCCATGCCAGGTCCCTGATAGCAGCACAGCCCGCAGGCAGGCCCTGGGCCGTCCGCCCCAGGCGGGGAGCCTCGGGGTGCGGGCTGGGCTCACTGCCCTGGCAGCCCGCAGTGACGCCACGCGGAGGGAGGGCAGCCTGGCCCCGAATCCCCCGCGGGCTGTCCCAGTTGCACGTCCTGACACAGCCCAAACTCGAGCCCAGCCTGCTCCGCCCGCCCGGACAGCTGCAGGGATGCCACTGCTGCGAACGGGGGTCGTCTGCCCGGAGCCGGGCGGCGGGGGCCTGGGGCCCGCAGGAACAATGGCCAGGCCGGGCCCGTGGCAGCCAGGCTGGGGCTGCAGCTGACGGCGAGGCTGGGGTACCAGTGCCAAGCTGGGCACAAAGGGGCCGTTTTCCCGGCTGGCGGGCGGATGTTTGCACAGGTGTGCGCGCGGGAGCAGGGCTTGCAGGGGCCGGGCTGGGGGCAGCTCCGAGGGAGAGGCCAGGAAGGCGGGCGGGCGGGGGGGCCGGGGCCGGGCACCACTCACCAGCTGAGCCCCCCCCCACACCCACGCGCCTCCAACCTCGCCGTCTGGTCCCGGGGAGCCTCCCGGCCCCTGGCAGCGTGTCCCTCCACAGGCCCCGCCTCTTATCAGAAAGTGACCCCTCCCCTGCTGGAGCAGGGGACGAAGTGCCCTCCCTCCAAACCTGCCGGGGGGCCAGCCGTGTCCCGGCCCGCAGGCGGCATCAGAGCAGGTCAGCACGTCCTCACCTTCCCAGGTCAGCCTGGCATGTTGGAAGCTTCCAGAAAAAAAATGCTGACTCGGCCAACATGAGGAGCCCTGGCCTTGGCCTCACCGGGGTGGGGATGGAGACACGAGTGGCTTCCTGCCCCACCCGGAGCAGCGGGGACAGGCCTCCCCCTGGAGGGTGGGGCCCTGGGCTGAGGCCGACTCCCCCACCCCACCACCATTCTGGAAGGAAACACGTTGGAGGTGGATACAGCCAGCACCCCGCTCAGCCTGGACCTGTGGCTCCGTGGAGCTGGCACTGCCCCCAGGCCTCAGCCCCACCTTGTTGGGTGCAGCCTGCGACCCCCTCCTCTCCTGGGCTGAGCAGGCCTGGACGTCAGCCACCCAGCCCCCAACTCAAAGGGGCTCCATCAGCCATCCTTGACCTCAGGCATTTCATAACCGGGACTGGCATCACGCACTCTGCGGCTCGGGCTGCTCTGGATGCTCCTGGTCACTGGGCCTCCTGACGCTCCCAGGCACTGGGGCCCCTGGATGCTCCCAGGCACTGGGCCCAGGGCACCCGCAGGGAGGGAGGAGGCCCAGGCCCGGCTGATGGCCCAGAGACAGGGCTACTCCCCCGCCCGCCCTCCACAGACAGGGTCTGTGCAGGCCACCAGGACCCCAAGCGTGCCGCTCCCAGGCCAGTAAGCTGCTGACCACCCTGAGACGAAATGAGAGTCTGGGACCTGTCTCCCCACAAGGCCCACGTGGAGGGTTGTTGAGGGGCGTCCTCTGCGCCCTGAGGTCACACAGCAGTGATGCTGGGTTCCTATTACGACCAGGACCCAGGGTGGGGTGGGGTGGGGTGGGGGGCATGCATGGTTCAGACACCCTGGCCATGGCTGAGGCACCCGCAGCCACCCACAGGCAGGCCAAGTGCCACCCCCACCCCCCAGAGCAGAACCCGGGGCCTCTGCACACTGCCCCAGTTGCGGCCAGCACCAGACACGTGGGCTGGGTGCCCCGTCAGAATGGGGGAGCTCCCTTTCTCCCAAGGCCCCTGGTCTGGCATGGTGGGGCTCTGATTGTCACCTGATGATGAGCTCCCGAGTGCAGGAACACTGGGGGGCCTGGCGCTGAGCCTCACAGAGGTGGGCCCTGGGGTGCCAGGGGACTCAGGACCAGGGCGGGGGTGGACAGTGCTAGAGGGCCCGGCCCAGGGGTGGGGGAGGAGCTGGGGCCGCCTGTGGCCACATTCCCAGCAGATACCCCTTGCATACTCGCCTTCCATCCCAAGACTTGCCTCTGCAAAGCCAGCCTCACAGGTAGAAACGTCACGGGCCCCATGACAGTGACAGCTGGGCTCCGGGCGTCCAGGGTGGGGCCCAGCCACCCGCCCAATGACACGCCTGTGTACAGGCTTCAAGCACTCAGGGGGCAGGTCTCAAGACCCCAGGGCCCCGGGGCGACGCACTGTGCCCCCACCCCCTGCCCGGGCCCGGTGTGAGCAGTGGTCTCGCGGGCCGGAGGTGCCAACTTACCACTCCCCACCACAGGGCGTCCGCGTAGCTGCCGAACTCGACCTGGCCCGACTCGTTGACGGCGTCCTTCTCGGCCAGGTACACAAAGTAGGAGGAGAAGATGAGGCCCAGGAAGCCGATGTACAGGGTGGTGATGAGCTCCTGGAGACACACGGGGAGGGCGCTCCGTCAGCCAGCACCCGCAGGCGCCCCGGACAGACATCATGTGCGGGGGGCGGGGCGGGGGCGGCCTGCCAGCAGCCGGCTCCAGCCGTTACCTGAAAGTTCCACGTAAAAGCCAGCGTGTCTGACACGCAGACATCGGGCTCAAAAAATAACCTAGTTTCCCCAACTTGTCAATGGCGAGGTCAGGTCTCCCCGTCCAGGAGTGAGGCCAGTGCCCTGGCCCGCCCACCAGCTCTCTTTCCCGCAGGACCTCAGGGAGACGCAGGGATGGGCCTCATGAAGGGGTGCAGGCTGGCCCCCCCAGCCTTCACGGGGCTGCTCAGGGTCTGCACGGGTTCAGATTTCTGGGCGTCCTGATGCTTCTCCCACATTAAACGTCCATCTTTCCACCTACCCGAGCATCTACTCTCCCAGCTGGAGGGAACATGGGCACACCACCTGCCTGGCCAGCGGGGCACTCCCGCCCCTCGGGTGGGGGTTGGACAGCCTGGCTGGCTCAGGCCGAGGCTACTCTGTGGACCCGCGTGCCCCCCAACCACGCACCTGGCGGTGGATGAAGACCACGGAGCCCAGCAGCCTCCAGGTGCCCCCCTGGCGGTCGACATGCAGCATCCGCAGGATCAGAGCCAAACCCACATGTTCCTCAGTTCCCTGGGTGGCCAGACGGCCTTCTGGGGGGGCCTCCCCAGGATCACCCCAGTTTACGTATCAGTAGACTGAGGCCCCCAGACCTTGGGGTCCCAGCCTGCGTCCTAGAAGCCAGTGCTTGCCCTTGATTCAGCGTGGGCCCGGAGCCCGCCCCCCAGCATCCGCACCCCCACACCGCCGGGTCCGCGGTCGAGCGTACCTGATGGCCGAGGTAGCAAACACCTGCCCTTTGGAGCCCACGCAGAGGACCACCATGGAGGCCACCACCACGATGAGGTCTGGGGGAGCAGAGCCAGCATCACCAGCCAGGCAGCTGGACGCCAGCAAAGAGCCTGGCAGTCAGCGGGACAGGGCCCCACAAGGGGGACAGGGAGACGCCCTGTGGGGGAGGCCGGGCCCCCATCCCAGCCACATGTCCAGGCCTCATCGGCCGCTGAGAGCAGTGCACACAGGCTGTGCTGAGTGTGACCGGACCCCCGCCCTGCCCCGTCAGCAGCCTCTGGGGGGGACGACCTGGGCGCCAAGGCTGGCCACTGCTGCGGGGCCTGGGAAGTCACCCCGCTGGCCTGGGGTCCCAGCCCCATCACGGCTGGAGGAGGCTGGTGGTCTCTCAGGCCTCAAGGGGACTCCGCCTGGTGGTGTGTGTGATGGGGGTCTACCTGCCAGATTCCGGGGGACAGTGCCCAGCCTGTGTCTGGAAACCTTGGGGTGAACCTTCTGGGGGGGCGGACATGACTCACCAATGATGGAAATGGGCTTCCGGGCGAAGCGCAGCCGGCCCCAGATGCCCACGTACTTGCTGCGGCAGCCGGCCGACCAGAGGCGGACCACGTACTCCGTCCCGAAGAACACGACCAGGACGATCTCCTGCGGGGACGGGGCACGTGAGCTCACCTTGAAGCCGCACCCGGGGGCAGGTGCCACACCAGGAGCCTCTGCTGAGACACGTATGGGGAGCAGGTGGCCTGGGCCACCGTCTGCTGCGTCGTCCACCTGGACAGCCCGGCCGCCCAAGCCCAGGTCCACCACTGCACTTGGTAAAAAGGTGAGACATTATGACCGAGTGGGCTTTATACTCGGAATGCAAGGTCAGTTCAACACATGAAGATCAACCAGTACAATACATCACATTAACAGAATGAGGGGGGAAAAAATCATATGATCTCCTGATCACAAAAGATGCAAAAAAAAAAAAAAAAGCATTTGACACAATTCAGCACCCTTTCATGATAAAAACTAATCAAGCTACAGGCAGAGGGAACCTGCCACTGGGTGATAAAAGCCATATATGAAAGCCTCACAGTGAACACTGCACCCACACAGAAAGGCTGGAAGCTTTTCCTCTAAGATCGGAACCAAGACAAGGATGCCCACTCTCACCGTGTCTCTTCAACACTGTGCCAAAGTCCCAGCTAGAGCTACCAGGTAATAAATAAAAGACTTGCAAATTGGAAAGGAAGAAGTCAAATTATCTCTGTTCACAGATAATATGATCCTAGGTATAGAAAGCCATAAAGATTTCATGCAAAAAAACCTGTTAGATCTAATAAATGAATTCAGCAGAGTAGGATAGAAAAGTGAAACTGTTAGTCACTCAGTCGTATCAGTCTTTACGATCCCATGAACTCTAGCCCACCAGAGTCCTCTGTCTATGGAATTCTCCAGGCAAGAATACTGGAATGGGTAGCCGTTCCCTTCTCCAGGGGATCTTCCTGACCCAGGGATGGAACTTGGGTCTCCCTTACTGCAGGCAGATTCTTCATCATCTGAGTCACCAGGGAAGTTGATCAGAAAAATTTTTGCATTTCTATACACAAACCATGAACAATCTGGAAAGAATACTATAAAACAATTCCATTTGCACCAGAAGCAAAAAACAAAAAAAAAAGGACTTATGAATCAACTAAGGAGGTGGGAGACTTGTATGATGAAAACTAAAAAAGATCATTTCAAGAAATGAAAGATGACAAATAAATGGAAATACATGTTCATGGACTGGACGATTTAATACAGTTAAGAAGTCAATACAATTCAACGATTCAAAGTGATCCGTAGATTCAATTCATCCCTCTCAAAACCCTGAAGACTGCCCCCCCACCCCCCGAAATAGCCCTCTTAAATGCAAAAGAAATGCTAAGGGGCTCTGAACAGTCAGAGCAAGATGCGGGGCACTAACAATGGACTATCCCTCGGCCTCATAAAGGAGGGAAGTTCTGAGAAGGCCGCCACGGACGGGCCTGAGGACGCTGTCTGCAGCTCGTGCCCTGCTCCGTCCTTGCCCCGGGGGCCCAGCCCTGTCAGAGCACTTCGGCTCCCATGGGTAAGGGCACAGGCCCGGGTCCCATGCCTGGCCTCGCCTGTGCCCCCCAGGGAGCCACGGTGGAGGGTGCTTCCCAGGGCTCCACAGTTAGAGTGGCATACAGCACCCAGTGTGTGTGTGGGCATGCTCGGGGCGTGCTGGGAGAAAAGGTGGGGAAGTGTCCTTTCGTGAAAAGGTTTCTGGTGGGCAAGGCCGAGTTGGTCAGGGTGGGGTGGGTACCCCTGGGGGCACCTGGGACGGTGGAGCTCGAGGGAGTGTGGACGCTCGCAGGCCCCGTGGCCTTGGGGCCTGGAGGGTGGCCGAGGCCACCAGGGCAGGGGCCATGTTTAACAGCCCCCGTGGCCTGGGACCTGGATCTGCGGAATGAAGGGATGAGCAGCCTGGGGCTCCCTGGGACAAGCGCTTCGTCTCATACACGTGTTTCCCAAGATCCCGGCCCAGCCAGTCCTAAGAGGGTGTGATGAGCGGATGGCGGCCAAGGAGGCCCCCTCAGTGGACGGGGAAGCAGGTGTGAAGGGAGCAGCTCCTGGTGTCTGGCCGTCATGACAAGGGCCACAGAGTCGCCACCTCCAGCTCCCCAAAGCTGAGACGCCAGAGCCAGCACCTTCAGAGGAGGGAACCATGGGCCACTGATGGCCCCACGGGGACAGACAGAGCTCCCCAAAGAGCAATCCCCAGAGCCTGTACCCCAGGTCTGCAAATCCACACACCATTGGGCTGATCAACCATGAATGAGGGTTTCTGTTACTTTGATACATTTTTTAAATCACTTAAATACATTCCTCAGCCACGTCCTAAGTATATTCAATGCGGTAGAAGTCTTAAGACCATAAAAAAGCTTATGACAGACATTCAGATGAAGAAGCGCCTCCCAGGAAGCTGCTGGGGTGCTCCCCACCCCTCCCTTCACTCGAATATCCTAGCCTCTCACTCAAAGCTACCCCGAGCCCTTCTGGGGCTGGTGGGCTCAGGCTGCAGGACTCCGCCTTTGGAGGAGTGAGGTGTAGGAATAATTTAAAAGAAGGCTAATCCCCAAATCCTGTTTGAGTCTGGAATGCAGCTGGAGGCTGGGCTGGTTGCTGGGGGCCTTCACCCCGTCACCGCGAGCCCGAGCCCCAGCCGCAGTGCTCATCACAGTGGCGCCACCAGCGTGCTGGGCAGGGGAGGACCTGGGTCAGTGGGCGCACACATGTGCCTGGGATGAAAGGATCTCCACGCTGCCAGCCCTGAGCGCTGGGCAGGGTGGCACCTGGGGCCAAAGCCGGGACCTCAGGACTGGGCGCTGCTCACTAGGACCCTGGGGGTCTCCCTGTAGCCTGGGCCATCACCATCTCTTGGAGCCCCCTGTTCACTGACCCAGGTGCAGACAGGCGGGCCCGAAGCTGCGGACCAGCAGGGACTCTCGCCCTGGCCACCCTGGGCCAGGGGCTACTCCGGGGATTTGACTGGACTTGACTGTCCACTTGTGGAGGCTCGGGTGGGTGGGCCAGGACCTGCATGAGGGCTGACCCCACGTCATCCTGTGGGACAACCTCTGAGTCCAGGGACCCCCCTGCTCCCCGACCCAATGCCAAGAGGCCCAGGACAGGGCAGGGACACCTTCTCTCAGCTCCAGGGAGAGCCAGCGAGACCAGCCTCTAGTGTCAGCGATCAGACCCAGAGGATGATCCCCTCCCCTGCCCAGCTGCCCTCCTCGCCCTGGGCTTTCTCTGCCCTGGGCAGGGGCAGGCCCGTGGCTCAGCCGTCTCTGCAGACCAGGACCAGCGCGGGCCTGCAGCCGCCGCAGAGGCCTCCCGCTCCCCCAGGGCCCGGCAACGGCAGACCCCTCCCCCACCCCCCTGCTCAAGCCCCAGCCGGCCCCCCGTCACCCACACGGAGGCTCAGGCTCCCCTCGGCCCCCAGAGCCTCCCATTGGCCCGGGGCGCCTGCCCCGCCCCCGTCCCCAGGGCTCTGTATCTGGCTCTGCCCCGCCTCCTGTCCCCTTCCCAGTCCAGCTCAGGCGCCCGCCCCACCCCCCACAGCCCCCCAGCACACCTGACTCCTCCACTGATAGCAGAGGCGGCGGGGGCCCCATCCGCGGCCCACGTGGGGCCCATGTGCCCGGATGTAAGCAGAGGTCAAGGATGTGGCCCTGAGCCCCGTCCTGCAGGGGGGGAGGGGGCGTCCTCCCACCAGGGACCTCTGCCAAGACTGCCACCACCCGAGGGGGGAGGGCCCCCTCACCCACCCGGCCACCGTCCCTCAGACACAGCAAGGTCGCCTCCCAGCTGCGGGCAGCCTCATGGACCAGAGGCCTCTGAGCAGCTGGGCGCTGGGACCAGGGCTCAGACCCGAGACTCCACGCCCTCAGGAAGCAGGCCGGACAGGGAGACACAGGGGCTCCAAGCAGCCAGGCAGCCCCCCAGGGGGAGGCCATGCCCTCCTGCTGTGCGGCGGTCCCGGGCCCCCGTGTGTATCTCTGATGATGGGTGTGGAGTGGCCATTGGCAGTGACTATTTGCAAAATTTAAATTTATTTCTAAAATCAAGTTCCTAAGCAACCACCCAATTAAAAATGGGTAAAGAAGGCTTCAGCTCAGATGGTAAGGAATCCGCCTGCAATGCAGGAGACCTGGGTTCGATCCCTGGATTAGGAAGATCCGCTGGAGAAGGTAATGGCAACCCACTCCAGTATTCTTGCCTGGAGAATTCCATGGACAGAGGAGCCTGGTGGGCTGTAGTCCATGGGGTTGTAAAGAGTGGGACAGGCCTGAGCGACTGACACTGCTGAAGAAGGCATTTCTCTAGAGAAGACGTACAAAGGGTTATCGGGCACATTCAAAGATGCCCTGTCTGTGCATCAGGAAGCTAACTGAGGCCACAGCGGGCCACCCATGCCCAGCAGGTCGGCAGCTCTCGGAGAAGCCGAGTGCGTGTCGGCATACGCGGGGATCTGCCGGAGCCGGGTGCGTGGCCGGTGGGAACACACGATGGCATGGCCACTGTGGAGAGCAGGATGCAGGGTCCTTGAAAAACCAAAAATAGAACACACTCGGCAATCCCACTCCTGGACGGATCCTCCAAACAATGAAGAAAGAAGAAGGAAAACGGGAAGTTGGAGCTCAAAGAGGTTTGCACACCCGTGTTCACTACAGCACTGTTCACAACAGCCAGAAGGTGGAAGCGACCCACGTGCCCCTGCCCCGCCCCCAGGGGAATCGTACACGGCCTTAAAAGGAAGGAAACGCTGACAGGCCTGGGATGGGGATGAACCTTGGGGACACTGCGCTTGGTGACATACACCAGACACAGAAGGACAAATCCTGCGTGATCCTCCTCACAGGAGGTCCCTGGAGGGGTCACAGCCAGAGAGACAGGAAGTCGACGGTGGGGCCAGGGGCTGGGAGGGGGTTTGGGGGCCGAAGTGGCCGATGGGGCAGAGTCTCTGTTTGGAAAGATAGGGACCTTCTGGAGGCGGACGGTGTGATGTTTCAACATGTACTTAATGCCACCGAACTGTGCACTTAAAAACAGTTAGGAGAGTAACTACCTTCTATGCGTGTTGCTAC